ATTCGTGCAGCGAGAAGATAAGGAAAAGAGGAGGGAAAAAAACGGCATACGCACCGCAGCTCGTTTAGCAAAACGGATGTGCCCCGATAAAGAGCGGTAAACGCGAGTGCAGGTTATCCGTAATCAGGTGGAATATACTTTGTAATTGCGCTTCCTTTGCGGAATAATCGCACGGTGCAGATACAAACTGATACATTTCCGATAAGCCTGCGGAAAACAACTCGACGCTTTTCCGTTTGGATGACTTCACTCTTCTTCTCAGGCTGACCGCTATTGTTTTCGCTCGCCCACCCATATTACGTTTATGATATTGACTTGCTGTATACCGCAGTGCCGTCAGCAGTGTGCACGTATGTTGCATATGCGCGTGTGTGCGCGCCGCGTATTTATTTTGCGTACCGTCCGAGTTTCGTCGCGTCTTTCGTACAATATTGTAAGCAGAAGAGACTCAACTTTGCACGGCGACGAGAATAATTTACGACACTCCTTCGGCGCCACGGAAGATGTGCTTTTGTATCGTAAGATGAAAGTACACGTATTTTCAATTAAATCCTCGATCCGCCCGGCTTATAGATTACTATCCTTCTATTTCACCGTAGCATCCATCGAGATAAATTAGTGAGATAAATTAATGTATAGCTAACAAGTGCAGTTCCACGACAGTGCACGTGTAATTTTCTGAGATTCAATCCGCTTAATTTTTAACTTACATTTCTCACCGACGCCGATACGTTAAATGTAACGGGATTCTATATTTCTTTTGTTATTTCTGCTATAACGGAATGCATAAATTCGTCTATCTTTTTAAGTGAAATAAGATTAGTTTTCAAGGCGTTCCACGCGTTCGAAAGATCTTGAAAGCCACGCGTGCCTAATAAAAATAAAATAATGAAGACGAAGTAATACAGAAACAATCGGCATCAGATTGTATTGTTCTCGCCGAATCGAAACTTCACTCGTGGCTTCTGAATTTAATCAATTATAAATTAGACTAATTACAACGGAAATTAACGGATAACATGCGTGTAAACATTTTGCCGGCAGTACAATCGATTAGCATCGAAACTGCACAAACGGTGTGTTGGAATATGCTCAACAAATGTTTGTACAAATGTCTAAAATGCCCGAAATATCTGCGCGAAATTACTTACGAAATGCTAATGTAATATCGTGAAATAGCTGCATTCAAAATTCCCTCGCCGGGAATTAACAGCATTACAGAATTAGCTTCCTCTTACAATTATTAAATCTTGTTCGCGCGGGATGTTTTCCAGAATTCCGTCTCGCGATTGTTCATTTTCACTTATGGACTCTTCGATAAATTTGCATTTCTTGCAAATCTCCCGCCTCCCCTTCCCGACCGTCCGCCGCGCAGAGAAGAACTTTCGCGAAAATCGTCATCCTTTGCAACAACTGTGTAATATTCAACACAAACTATCCTCGTGATTAAACGCTGGATCCAAACTTCGGCCAAGTAAAGTCAATTTAGATGAATAATGAAGTTTCGTTATATTTAATTTAACGTTTGCCAGAAGTTTCATTCGCATCTTCATTTACAATCGTTTATATTTTAAAATCCTATCACGGGTTGCTTCGACGTTTTAATTAAGGCGCAATCAATTCTCATTAATAAGGAAATAAAGCTGAAATCCAGATAATTTCAAGCCCATTAATGATTCCTTTCATTTTGTTGCAATTTTCCCTACGGTTCTCCCGGAAAAAAATTGATAAAAACGACTACGCAAATGCATCGGAAACGGAGTCTCAGCATTCTGGTTATGAATATGAAAGTGCATTGTTATTTCGCGTAACGTTAAAAATTTATGATTATATCAGTTAAATAATCCGCGAATCGCTAAACCGATTTATACCGAAAAAGCTAATAAGAGAAAATCAACGTATTATATTATTTTATTTTTATTACATTATAGTTATCAATAATATTTCACGTCCACGTTATGTTGATTTCAACGTTGCGCTCGACGAAAACCTCTTCACACACGAGGTCGCGCGATTATTAATTCCTAACAAACCACATTCGACGTGTTCTCCCACGATACGCTAGAATTAAAAATCCCGAGATATACGCGTTAGAATTTGAAATTCACAACACAAACGTTAGAATTTTAAATCGCAGCGTCGATCGCGCGGCTGTGCTTTCCGGTGTTGAGGAATACGTAAAAATGGTGTTAGAAAAGATGCGCTCAAAAAAATCCAACTAAGGATCTGAGCAGAACGGCTGTCTTGTACTCTCACGACAAGGTTTGGTGTTTTAAATCCTTGTCTTAAAGTAACGCACAATAATTGTCTCGCGACTTAAGAATACAAGGCAGCTATTCTGCTCCGGCTCTAACGCAGGTAGATTTCTAGGTGGCGCAACAGAAATTTCTCGCTTTTTCGTGTATCTGTTATGGCACTTGCAGACCAACGCGATAATCCAATGGGCGTACATTCTTTGTGGGAAAAACAGTACGCTTTCCCATAAAACCTGTATCGATTAAAAACAGAACATATGCGATTTCGCAGCACTGGTCATTCCTTTGTATATCTCAGCTGTTTTTTCGTATACAGGGTGTCCCAGGAGGAAAGGTCGGTATTCTGGGAGGTGATAGTGTCGGTCATTGTAAGCAAAAACGTTCATATGAATATACGTCCCGTTCCCCGCTGTTTTCGAAATAGGGCCATTTGAATGTGCAGTTCAAAATTCACAACGCAAACGTTCGAATTTGAAATCGCAGCGTCGATTGCGCGCTCGAGCTCACCGGTGTTGAGGAATACGTAAAAATGGTACTAAAAAAATGCACTAAAAAATCTGACTAACGCAGGTAGATTTCTAGGTGTCGCGACAAAAATTCATCGCTATTTCGTGCATCTGTTATGGCTCTTGCAGACCAGCGCGACAACGCGACGCGCGATAACCCAATGGGCGTAGTCATTCCGAAGAAAAAAGTACGCTTTCCCATAAAACCTATATTGATCAAGACAAAATATATGCGATTTCGCAGCTTGGTTGTACCTTTGTATAATATATCTCAGCCGTTTTCTCGTATACACGGTGTCCCAGGAGGGAGGGTCAATATTCTGGGAGGTGATAGTGTCGGTCACGAGGGGGAAACCGCTGACCAAAATCTTGCATACCAATACCCACCAATGCCCAGTGGGTATTACTTCATCTTATTATCTTATTTTAGCTATACAATGCCCCTTAAATTGCCCCAGCAAGGCCTGGTGCCCCAAAAATGCCTAGTGATGCCCAGTAATGCCCTCAGCGGTCTCCCCCTCGATCGGTCATTTTACGCAAAAATGTTTATATGAATGTATGCCCCATTCCCCACTGTTTCCGAGATAGAGCCTTTTGAATGTGCAGCTGCAAAATTACTGACAGGAAAGAAAAGCTACGTACTAATTTCTAATATTTATTGTTCAGCTGATACCTTTTTTTACACGTCATAATAAATGTTGGAATACGTAAAAACAGCATATCTGCATATTCGAGTTTTGTGAGTATGCGAGGCGTTTTGAACATTTCTACAATGTTATCAGCACAACGGTCAACAGACGGTATAGGAGTAAGGGTCGGGGCACAAAATCAACGTAACAGCTTACGACAAAGACGCAAGCGTAAGCGTAGATAGCGCACAAGCTTTGGCGTATGTCGTACCTGCGCCCAATTACATATGACGTTACTTTTACGCCAAAGCTTGTGCGCTGTCTACGCTTACGCTCGCGTCTTTGTCGTAAGCTGTCGCGTTACTTTGTGCTCTGACCCTAAATTCCCGCGGACGTTTATGAGTTTGGATGACGGGGTGAAGTGTACAGAAAAACGCGAGGGCATTGTAGTGTACAGATTTGCGGCGTTAACGGGCATTTTTGGGCATTAGGCCTCGCTGGAACATTGTAAAGATAAAATAAGACAAAATAAGATAACAAGATAAAGTAATGCCCGTTAGTGGGCATTGGTGTGCAAGATTTTGATCGGCGGTTTCCCCCTCGGAAAAAGAGTAAATACACGAGGCATTCGAGTAGCTCTATCTCGGAAACAGTGGCGAATGGGACATACATTAGTATAAACATTTTTGCTTAAAACGACCGAGACTATCGTCTCCCAGAATATTGACATTTCCCTCTGGAACACCCTGTATGGAAAATTGTTGCAGTCGCAAGATCATGTTTTCGAGTGTGCATAAAAGATGCGTAAACAACAGGGGGACGGCAATTTCAAGTGTTTACCTACGAATGCTGAATGTGCGCGCGCGCAAAAATATGCAAAAATACACATCCTGGAGATCGCCGGTCGTCGGCCGACGCCGCCGCCGCGATGTCCAGGAGGTCGCGGCTCGTCCACCCCGGAAGGACGCCACGCCATCTGACGCTTTCTCCTCCCTCGCCCCCGCGCGAGAAAAATGCGTGTTTACGTAAGGCGGACGGTCGCGGCGAGCGACGCCGGGTGTTTTGTCATCGGACAAAAATAAACGCGCGGCCTCCTCGCTCGACCTGTCCCGCGGGAGAGAAAGAGAGAGAGAGACGCGTCCGTCGCCATTCAGTGGACGGATCCCTAGATTTCCACGCATGGCACGGTCATCGACGCATCAGGTGTCAGTCACCCCGGGAGTCGCGGAGTCGCGAGAACGCGAAAGTCTCGTACGCGCGCGGCCGCTGGCCCGGACGCGCGTTACACACGCACGTACGCGCTGTGCACGCACGTACGCGCGCCGCGATCCCCCCCGGTGACGACGAAAATTCGCGCGACGCACAACCGCTGATCCGCGCGCGCACGGACTCGCGAGCGTGGCGTCGTGCGATCGTACATGCCGTTCCGCGCGAGCGTCGCGCACGGTAACGAGGGGGAGGACGATTCCGCGGGACGATTCGCGAGAAACTTATCGGGGAAAGTGGACGCGGACAACTTGGCGCGGCCGCGAAGAATCGCGAGGAGTCGCCGGAATCGGCGAGCGCGCGAGCGAGACGGAAGAGCCGACGAAATGAAGATCGCTACTCACCCGGCGTTGGCGTGCGTTTTCCGCTGACCGTGGGCCAATTCCACCCGTGACCCGTCGTCGTCAGGCAGCAGCGTCGTCCTCGTCCACGTCGTCGTCCTCCTCCTCCTCCTCGTCGTCGTCGTCCCGCGTGTCGCGCGCGCCTTTCACTAGTTTCACAATCGACGTGGAAGATGCGGCGTCCTCGCGGATTCCTCCGTTCCGCCGCGGCGCCGGCTTTACGCTCTCGGGTCACACGCGACGCGACGCGACGCACGCCGACCGACGTGACGCGATCGACGGACCCCGGCCGAGGAACCGCACGAGCTTACGCGGACACGCACGAGCGCGAGGACTGCGGGGCCGTGTGCGGAAGAAACCACTCCGAACGCTTCCATCGGTCAGCTGCTACTGCCCGACTCCGCCGACCGACAGCGAGGGCGGGAAAAGGGCGGACGGCCGCGAGCCGCGCGCCGCCCCGCGGCGTCGCGCGCTTCGCTCCGGCTGCCGTTAGTTACCGGTCCAAGAGCTCTACTTTACCGGCGCAAGATACGTCCGAGTGGCCCAAACGCAACGATTCTCGAATTCACTCCAAGGAGAAACGTACGCGAAAATCCTGCTCCGACAGAAAAGTTGAAAGTCGATTTGCTAAAGGCCCATGCGAATAGCCAGTCGACTCGGCAACTTTTCCGCATACGTTTCTTCCTCGAGCGAATCCAAGAATCGTGCACCCGGCAGGAAGGAGATTTCCGACGAATCCAACGCGTCAAAAATTCTATTCCCCATTGCCTGGCACCGTGCGACAGGCTTGATTTCAAGCTAGCTTCGACTCGCGGACGTACAGATCTCAAGCGTGAATCGCGCTAGGTGTCCGTCCTGCCGGCTAACCGAGCGTCGACGGCAAATGGCGGGGATTCGGCGATCGCGCGACGACGAATACCGAACGCCGATTGTTCGCGCGGTTTCCCTCCCGCATTTTTCGCGAACGCGTATCACGAATAATATCGATAAACGGAGCGGCGCGGACACGACCGAATCGCCCAACTGCCGTCGCGTGAATGATCCTGCGTACGGCGTCACCTTGTCCCGCGTCCCGCCGAGCGTCGATCCGAAAAAAACTGAGCAGCGCGGTAAACAACGCTCGGTCGCCGAGCGTCGGTTTTCCACGAAATGACGTAGCGCCGTAAATACCTCGGTCGAAAACAGTCTATTGTGAACCGTCGGCGCGAAGTCACGGCTCCTGCTCACTGGACGCGGTAACGTTTGCCGCGGCAAGAAGAAACGTCTGTCACGTCCGAGCGCACGAGAAGTTGATTGGCTGGCGCTGGTTTCCCTAGCCAAGTTCCGCGGCGCGGCAAATGTTACCGCGTCCAGTGGGCAGGAGGAGTCCACCAGGGTGCACACCTGTATAGCGTTTTCGGCCGACTGGACCTGACGCGGGTTTTTCGGCGCTTCCGGAGCGAATCTGAAGATACTAGGAACGTGCGCTCGACGGAAAATCAGGTACTCGTTACAATATTCTCATTAATTTTACGATAAAATCGAAATACTGGTTGGTGAACTTACGCGTTATCGTCGTCAAAAGCTGCGCTCGGCATTGCGAATCCGAGGCGTCCGAGTGCTCTTTTGCACTCGAGTAAACGAGAGAGAGGAGAATGAGATAGAGAAGGGGGAAGAGCACATCGACGTCTCGGATTTGCAATGCCGAACGCAGCTACTGAATGCTTGGTTCTACAATAAGCACGCACGTGTAACCCGATTAACCTTAAGCCCGTATCAGACTACGGATTGAGATTGGGATTAGATTGAAATTTAACCAATCACAGTAAAGTTTACTAATCTTAAGTTCAGTAACTTTTACTCTGATTGGTAAAATTTCAATCTAATCCCAATCTCAATCCGTAGTCTGATACGGGCTTTACGAAGCTTCATGGCACTGCGGATCAATTCGCAACGGTACGGATCGAACATGGATTGCGTTTCGGTTATTTGTCTAGTAACTTAAAACCGCGTAGCCTCGACCAATCACGAGCGCACGAAAACAGCGGGACGCTCGTGATTGGTCGAGGCTCTCGTTCCTCTCTGTAAAGCCCGTATCAGACTACGGATTGGGATTGGGATTAGATTGAAATTTGACCAATCGGAGTAAAAGTTACTGAACTTGAGATTAGTAAACTTTACTGTGATTGGTTAAATTTCAATCTAATCCCAATCCCAATCCGTAGTCTGATACGGGCTTTAGCACTTTCGATTGGACCGCGAAGCGATTAATGTGACGTCACGAGTTTTGTTTTTGGTTACTAGACAAATAAAAATTAGTACGAAGCTTTGTATAGTTTTAAAAATTTGAGAAACAAAGTCTTAAAAAATTCAAACTTCTGCTTACTTGTTAGAATATTACAAAAATTAACACCAAGTGTTCCTTTTTACATTTACGTAGAATCTCTTAGATTCTGGCAGTTATATTTAATTTTTTTTAAATAGAATTTTGTAGAATTATTTCAGGCAGGGTTTCGTCACGCCAACAGCTCTGACAATAAACTACTTTTGCAATAGAATCTTCTCGCAGATTTAATTTCTTTTTGGAGCTTTGTAAACTTTATATTTCCTCGCGTTATTTATAACATATAATAAATTATATATAATATGTAATTTATAATATAATTTACTGGTTC